TGAGATGTGTTTTTCACGCATAAGACACCCTCTCACATAACAGATGTTCAGAAAAGCAATCTCCTGCAGCCTGGAGCGACCGTGATTGTGATTGTCAACTGTGCATCTGGATTTGGAGTGGCTACGCTTGCTCGCCGCCATGGTTACCATGTGGTTGCCGTGGTTACGGAGAAGCACCGCAAGGCTGAGGTGGCTGTATTGCGCGCGATGTCATGTGATATCGTGGTCGGGTACAGGTAAGGCTGTGCATATGCTTATATTATAGTTTGTGCATGTGCCTATGGTATAGTTGGTGCATATGTCTATGTTATAATTTGTGCATGTGCGTATGTTTTGCTCGTGTTTGTGTTGTGGTGAGGGTGTATAGCTCTCTGTGCTTGATGGGACCCTTTCGTATCATATTAGTGAATATTTGCCTATACTTATGAGAGCTACAGGTAGCGGAATAGACTATTAGCAAGTCTCTCACATTATCCATCACGCACGATGCATACTCTACAGTATGTGCACATATGGCGAAATAGACTTTTATCAAGTCCACATCAGACATACGAATACCTGAGCCACATAGCGTTAGCTGCTTGTCATAGACGTTTGTGTTGTGTTGAAATGTAATAGTTGAGTAAGCTGCACGAGCTCACATCACGAATCCGTATGTCACTGACTATTTGTAAAAAACTTGACGTCTATATATATATATTGGTAATGCCACAAAGCCCCATGTACAACGTATATTTTCATGCATGTAATGATAGTGGCAGAACGCCCGCACATCTTTTTGGATATGTACGTACTTTTCTGAGAAAAATATACCTCGGCATTCCGCATGCTGTTTACGTTTTATCTTTTGGTTTTGAATGTTTTTTCATTTCTATAGCGTTATTGTCGCAGCATTCTCATATCCTAAACATTTTGTCATACATGTATTCTTCTGCGAAAATATACCTCGGCATTTGTAGTTAACGTTTCATCTTTTGGTTATAAACGTATTTTTTCATTCCTGTCATGATAGTGCCGCAGGACCCGCTTCATGCAGAGCTGTAGCCGCCCGCCTGCACAAATCAATGAAAACTAAGAGCACTGTACTTGACATGGAATTGCTGATCAAAGACCTTCCCCAGGTACGCACCAGGCAGTTTTTCTCACACTTGTAATGATACTACTTACTAGGGTATACTAGTCAATACCTATGTAAACGTTCATCTGTGTCTGTAGATGCACGTGTTTAGTCAGGATATACTAGTAAATACTTGTGTATACGTTTATCTGTGTTTGTAGATATTCGTGTTCAGTCAGGTTATACTTGATATCTTTGTACACGTTTATTTGTGTTTGTAGTTGCACGTGTTCAGTCGTTGTCTGTATTTCACAGTTTCTAAGTGCTCTAGGATGTGTGCACACATTTCGCATAGGTTGTCTCAGCTGTGTGTACATGCGATCCCTTTACTTCTCTCAGCTTGTGTGTATATTATCATTTTTATGTACTCAGCTGTATATAGATGTTACCATTCACAATGTCTCAGCTGTTTATGTATAATATCACATCATTTCTCTCAGCTGTATGTGTATGTTATCATATCATTTCTCTCAGCTGTATGTATATGTTATCATATCATTTCTCTCGGCTATATGTGTATATTATCAATTTTTTTCTCTCAGCTGTAAGTGTATATTATAATATCGTTTCTCTCAGCTGTTTGTATGTGCTATCATATCGTTTCTCTCAGCTGTATGTACGTATTATCATATCATTTCTCTCAGCTGTATGTGTATATTATCATATCATTTCTCTCGGCTGTCTGTGTATACTATCATATCATTTCTCTCAGCTGTATGTTTCTCTCAGCTGTATGTGTATACTATCATATCATTTCTCTCGGCTGTCTGTGTATACTATCATATCATTTCTCTCAGCTGTATATACATATTATGCTCACACCTTCAGGCGCCATTCGAGACGATCGCAGACGAGATCATATCACAAGCCAAAGCGCAAAACGGTGAACTGGGAATGGTGGCTGCCTACGGCCCCTACTGGAGCAAAGTGCTGGAGATAGTCAATGCGAAAACACCACAAAACGTCACGGTAATTACTCTCACGCCATCGTATTGAATTAGTATGCACGCATATGTACCTCAGATATACACTTACGTACGTACATGTACCTCAGATGTATACTTATGCACGTACATATAGTTATCTATACTCTTCTCTCATTCACAATTCTGTGTACAGTGGTTGCAGCCTTCGATACACCGATCGATGCAAGCTTTAAGTGTACCACATAACTCAGATCTGCAATAGTGTGAGCACTTCCCTCTCATCTACCCCACTGTGACTGTGACTGTGACTGTGACTGTGACTGTGACTGTGACTGTGACTGTGACTGTGACTGTGACTGTGACTGTGACTGTGACTGTGATTGTGACTGTGACTGTAACTGTGACCGTGACTGTGACTGTGACTGTGACTGTGACTGTGACTATGGCTGTGACTATGGCTGTGACTGCTGTGACTGGGTGCACATTCCACCGTAGTCTTCCCATTGGTCTGTGTAGTTCCATTGATTACTATGCTACCCACCCGCCTCTCACCTACCCCACTGTGACTGAAACTGTGTGCTGTGTGTTGTCATTGCAGACGATCAATGCACAGATTGACAGGAGTGGAGAGGAGGACTCTGGTGTGGCCGAGGGCGTGTTCTACGTTTCAGAGAAGGACGCGTTCTTAACCTGCAGGAAGCTGGTAGAGGAAGATGCGTTAATGTGCGGTAGGTCGTGTGGCTGTGTGGGAGTTCATGCTCGTAGTGTGTCTGTATATATGTATATGTATACATATAAGTCTTAGAGAACTCACACAAACGGATGTAGATACTAACATATATGCATCCCAACAGCAAATAGATACACGCACATATTAGGTACATTCATACAAACATCACATACGGACAACTTAACTCATACATACAACTTAGGAACACACACAAACAGATGTAGATACTAGTATATATGCGCCCCAACAGCAAATAGATACACGCACATGATCGATACATGCACACAAACAGCCATTGCCCATATGCACGACCAACATATCACAGTTAATCATTCGAACACCACATGTATAAACTACAGAATATGTCTAATAGTACAAATGCCACAGATAGGTCACAATGCACGTCCAGACATACAAACAGAATAAAGTTAAACCTAAAGTACCACAATGGTGTACTCGACGAGGTGTATGTATTCACACTTACAAAATACATCCCCCCTATAGATATAGTCCTATATCTACATGTCTCTATCCATGCCTATACCTACTGATCGAGACCTACAACCATTCAGGACAACTCCGAATGTCACGAAGTCGACCTCATACACTGCATACATTCAGACGCTCACTTTTCAATACACCTACCTATGCAATGTCCACAACTACAACACATATTGCAAAGCTGTCCTCATACAGTGCATACACTCAGGCTCTCACATTATATTATACCTACCTACCTATGCTGCCTACAGGGCCTACCTCCGCGGCCACCATTTTCGCCGCTACACAGAGCGCCAAATCGTTCAAGAGAGGCACACAGTGTTTAGTGATCCTCAGCGACTCCATCTTCCCACACACCAGCACTATCCTCGAGTAAGTCGAGCACGCGTTTAGTGTTTGGGTAACTACTTAACTATAATTCTCGAGTGAGATGCATGCACGCCTGTGTTTGGATTGATCAAGCATGTTTATGTATGCTTTGTGCACATCCTGCCGGTTGTACACTTGTTTCACTGGTGTATATGTATTTAACGTATTGCCTCTGTATGCCTAACGTCTCTTTGCATAGCCTGTGCTCTGTCTTGAATAAGATGAATTGCTGCTCGAATCACTCCATGAACGTAATATAATTCCAATTCACACTCTCTTGCAATGAATGTATCAGGAAAAAAAAAGGCAAGACACTGACTAGATCTGAGCTTAGCGACTATGCCAAAGCACAACACACACAAACCGCGAGACATCCTGAGATATGCACATGCCATTGGCCTCCTATTACTCACACTGCTCATTGCTCATATTACTCATTACTCATAGATTATTCATTACTCTTGGACTATTCATTTTTCGTATATTACTCATTACTCATAAGATTGCTTACACGGTAGTCTCTATGCATATCTCATTGCACCCATTGGTCGACCCATCTGATATCGTACAGCGATCACTGGATGTTGGAGAATGGATTTGTCTCCGACGACACCTCCGGCAACGAAGAGAAGTGGAGAGGTGCAGCTGTAGGTATGCTACTATCATCTATTTATATCTACCTATAATACTTCTACAATCATCTATATATATCTATCCATCTATTAGCCTTTTGAAGAAGATGGGTGGAATGATGGTATGCTACTATCATCTCTATATATCTATCTGTTATCCTTAAAGGATTAGGGTGATATGATAGTATGCTACTAACATCTATATAGATGTATCTATTGTCCTTAAAGGATTAGAGTGGAAAGATGGTATGCTGCTATCATATATATATATATATATATATATAAATTAAATTTATAGCTATCTATCTATTCTCCTTGAAAAGGACTAGGCTGGAATGATGGTATGCTACTATCATATATATATCTCTATCTGTTATCCTTAAAGGGTTAGGGTGGGATGTTGGTATGCTACTATCACCTATATATATGTATCTATCATTCTT